TGGGCATATACCCAAGAAATGCTCAATCATACCACAAGAGCACTTGCTCAGCTATGTTCATATCAGCATTGTTTGTAATAGCCCAAACCTGGAAACAACCTAGATGCCCATCAACTGAAGAATGGATAAGTAAATTGTGGCACATATATACAATGGAATACTACTCAGCAGAGAAAAATGATTGTCATTCTTTTTACAAAGAATTTTAATGATTTCTTTGGCACAGCACTAGGCTCCATGCTGTAGAGAAACAGTGGACTGCCCTGACCTCAGAAAACCATTGTTTAGTACATATCAATAATAAAAATTGGACCATTTGGAGTTTTAAACACTTTATAGATATCACTGTATTTAATATTTATAGTATCTAAATAAACTACAGTTATATTCTCATTTTGCTCCACATTATTCCTGTTTGTGCGTGATACCCCATCTTATAATCAAGGTTAGTAAAGCAGAGACAATTTAAATGATTCACCCAAAACGAACATGTTAGCAAATATCTGAACTGTAATCTAGTTCTGACAGCCTATCTCCAGCATGTTCATAACTAGTGCTATTTCTTTTTGTTTATATATTCTTCTCACTACAAATCACATACTCTCAGAATGGAGTTGGTCCTTGGTCTGATTTTCATTGTGCAGGCTACTCTGTGACACAGGTATTCTTGCAGGTTTAGTGAAGAAGTAGAAAGCAATTTGATGAAATGGATTGAGATTGCGGTGCTAATGAAGGGCAGGACACAGCACTTGAACACAGATTTAATTGAAAACCTCTTCCAGGATATTCTGTGCTTAACCAGATATCTCTGTATTATCCTTTGATAATGAGCATGAGGGACCAGATTTAGAATTTTTATCTGAACTAGAGAATCAGCATCTCTGCGGAAGACTTTAGGTATTCTGGAAAGTCTTCGCTTACAAAACTTGGTATCTGAGATGGTTCCAAAATTCTTCATGTGAAAGACTCCCACAGCTCAACACTAGAGACTCTAATGAGACAGAAGATGAAAATATAATGTGTGACTTGTCAAAGAATGGAATACAGCTGGAAAATCAGGTAATGTTGTAAATGAGCTGGCTTCCCATTTATTCTCTGGGCTGTGGTTAATAATGAATTTAGGATTCTAGCAATCTGAAAGCATGACAAAAGATAGATCAGTGTGGCAGAAATGAGACAACTCTAAAATCAGTGCATACTTCATCTCTCAATTTCATTTTGGCTGTGGATGGATTTCATATTCTGCAGGATTTTAAAATCCTTTGATAAAATATTTCCTTTGGTGTTATACAAATTAGTTGAGTAAAACATCTAAGGCAACACATAGAGTTTTGTAGCTAGAAGATTTCCTGTGTCCCTCCTGGTTCACAGCTGCTCAGACCCAAGTAAACATATAGAGGCTTTTATTAATTAAAATTGTTCGGCCATTAGCTCAGGCTTACTTCTGACTAGCTTTTACACTTAAACTCAGCCCATTTCTTTTAATCTATATGTCACCACGTTTTCTGTGGCTTTACCTATGTGCCATTACATGCTGCTTCCTGGACGGCAGGTTGGCATCTCCTGACTCATCCTTCCTTTTCCCAGAATTCTCCTTGTCTGCTTATTCTGCCTATACTTCCTTCCTGGCTACTGACCAATTAGTGTTTTATTAAACCAGTGTACAAAGGCATTATCACACAGCATTTCCCCATTTCTGTTTAATTAAAAAGAAAGGTTTCAACTTTAACACAGTAAAATTACATAAACAGTTATCAAGCAAGAATTACAGTTACAATATCTAGTCTATTTGTATTTGGTAAAATTAAAGAAACTATTCTATCTATCATATATTTGTGAGTCTAAAGTTTTATATCTAATTTATCTTTTATCATAACCAAGGAAAATTATAACTATCTAGCCTTCAACTACATCAAAGTCCTCAGAAGGAAAAAATATTACCTATGTAAACAGGAAGAGCATTTTAAACAACTTCCAAAAATCTAGCATGACAGAGACAGATGCTTGCCTGGACAGTTACCCAAAGTTCCTCTATAATGTTGGGGCATCCACCTTCTGCCCATAGTCCTATTCTTTCAGTCATTTTTTCTCTCTCCCATAGAATGTTTGACAGTTTCTTCTGCAAAGCAGGAACCTGAAGGACCATCTTGCCTTGCAAAGATCAGTACCCACCTTCCTATGGGTCCTGCATGTCTAGTTTATACAACATATCATCAAGCAGTCAATTCAAGGGCACTCTTTTGCCCGGT